AAACCAATAGATACAGATGCCCATTAAAGTTTTAGTCATTGTTATTTTGTGTGGGTACAGTAAAGGGTGACACACAGCCACATAACGATCAATAGCAATTAAAACTAAATTACCAAGAGACACAGAAAGAAGCAGCCCGATGATGACTACAAAAAGTCCACAAAAAGTGTGTCCAAAGTACCAACATGTCTCAATCAGATTTATGGCCTCTATGGGTATCACAATAAGTCCAATAAACATGTCAGAAACAGCCAGAGAGAGAATGAGCAGGTTGGTTGGAGTGTGAAGCTTCTTGAAGTGAGAGATGGAGATGATCACCAGCAGGTTCAGAAACACAGTCCATGCTGACAACAATAATATTAACACATACATGATATTGTATTCATGACTAGAACGTTTTCCCTTGGGACATGATGAGATGATGTCAGGAAAGCAGTATTGAATCTCATGATCCTCTGTCTCATAGGCCATGTGTGAGTCTCCTCCTGTTAGGTGTTTGTTCTGCTCTCCTTACTGTCCCTTCAATTATACAGTGTCTGGATCAAACTGACCAACCCATTTTCCACCCGCTCTGATGCTGAACAATGACATAATTTTCTTCCAATAGTTTCAACCTTGGCAGTCAAATAGCCGAGCTTAAGAGGCAAAACTGAAAGACATAAAACTGAATACCTTTGCTTTTACATGATGTATACCCACACTAATAGAGTAGGTGTAAGAATGAAATCCAAAAACACTGATGTATCAGCCAGTAAAGCAAAATCAAAAAAAATACTTGGAGCATTGTTAAGCCCTGAGGCCTGTCTTGAGAAGCAGGTTTAAGTACTAACTACCCGGTTAAGGTGAATTAGAGTTTGATCGAGCCATTTTTCAGTCTCATGAAGGTAGATTAGGTTAAATTGGTGTTCATAGCCATATTAACTAATGCTACATCTCTGACCAATCAATGACTGGGTGCAGGGCCGTTTCTAGGCATAGGCGAGCTAGGTGGTCGCCTAGGGCGCCACCAGCTGAAGGGGCGCCAATGAGCGCACGTACTGGCACTTTTAGCAGGGTTGTGATAAAGAGTGGCATGGTCACCCTGAAATATGACTGCCGCCCCCACTGGATCCCCCAACATTATTGGGCTAGAGTACTGTCAATCTGACGATGCCTGTATGCCACTAGATCAGAGTGCTGTTCGCCTAGGGCGTCAAATTGGCTAGAAACGGCCCTGACTGGGTGTATCACTGTTTTAAAATGCATGAAGAGTTAATGATGTCCACCTAATGGATAATGTGAGCAATAATAATTCAACAACTCAGAATATATGGATTATTCTCTCAAAAAATAAAATTCAGTCAATGTTTACCCATCCTCATGTTTTTCTAAAGCCATATGACCTTTTTCTTTTTCAAAACAAAAGGAGAATTAAAAAAAAAACATGTCCTGCTCATGCTTGTCCATATTATGGCAATGAATGGAGCCTAGCTTCAAGCTTTAAAAAGTTGCATTAGTATCTTAAAATTATCCAATTCAAAACTAACTCTGTATGTTCTACAACTTGCTTCATGAAGCAGCCCTCTGTACTGCTGTATTAAGAGATTTACTGCAGCCAGTAGCCACTGACTGTGCAGTGAATGAAAGTGATTTAATTGTGCCACCGTCACTGACATACACTCATGTGAAGTCATGGCTGTTGTTGGTGCATCAGTGGCCATGAATACAATACATATAAACAAAATCAGATATGTATCAACTGACAAGCTGTTCATGGATAGTGGTTGATATTTGTCCTAACCTTATACATGTTAATGAAGAATGGCTGATCATGCTTCAAATCAGAAGCTATGTATGTATATTGTAGCATGCATGTACACACACACACACACAAACACAAAAACAAACACAAACACTCTTAACTCCACAGAATGAGTCTTTTCTCAGTGCAACCACTAGAGGCTGAATTGTTGGACATTGCATGCATTTATGACTTCAAATTCAGATGTTTATGCTGATAACACAGACTATCAGGATTTATGTGCAATGCAGCTAAAACTACCACTATAAAATGACAGTGTATGCAGTCATTGTTTTCCTATCAGTATTATTATTGGACCAGTAAGCAAAGAAATTACATATTTTTTTCATTTTGATAAAGAAACATTGTTGGCAGGAAAACAACTGAACATTTTGTCACTTCATTTTACTTAGTGTTAAAAGAAGTTTGCTTAGCTTGCTTAGTTCCAGTTTAATTACAATTGATGTTTGGTAAAAATATTGACCAGAGAGGATGCTGGCTGATTTAAGATGTGTTTAACTGTATTTTTAAACCAAGACTAAAATAAAGCATAGTGTGGGACAACGGGTCTTTGCAGGCCCGATGTCAGGCAAAAAATGGGTTCACACACAAAAAAACAAACAAAAAAAACGGAATTTATATACACAGCCCATGTTAAAAGATTTATGATTGTGGAAGAGATTACTGATATAGAACAGCTACAGTAAAGAATCCAGCAAAACTGTGACAATGATCCCTAATGTCAGAGCAGCTTTGCTCTCAGATTTTCTCCTCACTGAACTTTTCATTACACATTTACCACTCTTTGTAAGGGTATTTATAAAAGTAAAAAAAAAAAAAAGTGAAAGTGAAGTGTGGCGCCCCATACTTGGAATTTGTGCTCTGCATTTAACCCATTCAAGCGCCCACACACACACACACTGTGAACACACAACTGGAGCAGTGGGCAGCCATATTGCTGCGGCGCCCGGGGAGCAGTTGGGGGTTTGCTCAAGGGTCTCACCTCAGTCGTGGTATTGAAGGTGGAAAAGAGAGCTGGTCATTCACTCCCCCCACTGACAATTCTTGCCGGACCTGAGACTCGAACCCACAACCTTCGGGTTACAAGTCCGACTCTCTAACCATTAGGCCACAACTGCCCCCAATAACTTATAACTTTCACTTGCGGATATACAACATAGAAAATCCTCAAATACAAAGTTATTATCCTATTACAAGGAGACACAAAGGACTAAATCAGATCAGTGACTCTCCAGGCAAAACTTATTGGAGCACTTCTAATCCAGAGGTATTACCTAATTTTCACCTTCATCATCGTCTTCAATTTGGAAAAAATAGTTAACTTTTACAGCATTTATTACATTTGATTAATATTAATTCATAATTACTGAATATACAAATGCATTTTAACATTTTGCATAATTATTAATAAACATTAGTACAAAATAAACATTATTACATGTAATATTATATCAATCATATAAAATTGTATCAAATTGTATCACAATTATATAAATCTTGTAAAAATATAGTACAATAATTCATGATACCCAAGGCAAAAATGTTAATGAACTAATGTTAATGAACCTTATTGTAAAGTACTTTTGATTTTACAAACAACTGCCAGAAAATGAGAAACAGCATTTCTCCATGATACCTATTTAATCTGAAGTGACCTGCATATTAAAGCACAATACTAATCAATCAATGAATAGATTAATATTAATTCAGTAATTCGACATTTAAATGTAAATAAAATGGCTTTGCAAATGAAAACACTAAAAACACTTTAGGCATCTCACAGGATCTCATGAGTGGAAATGTCTCTCTCTTTCACACACACACAAACACACACAGGTTTGTTTTTATGGTTTATGGTTTACTCTCCATAGGCGTAATGGTTTTTATACTGTACAAACCGTATTTTCTATTGCCCTACACCAACCCTACCCCTAAACCTACCCCTTACAGGAAACTTTCTGCATTTTTAGATTTAAAAAAAAACTCATTCTGAATTATTTATAAGCCTTTTGAATTACGGGGACACTGAAAATGTCCTCATAAATCACCTTCTCGTTGTAATGCCTATGTCATACCCATGTTATTATAAAAATTTGTGTCCTCATAAACCACATAAACATGCACACACACACACACACACACACACACACACACAGTGCTTTTGTTGTTTTATCAAGAAATGGATTACAGTAAACTCTGAAGCCCTGTTATGGACATCATGGCTTGTTATTTATGAAATGTGCACCTGAGGGTGCTGTTAACACCTGTGCTACATGCAGAGATGATCCTCAAGTGCCTCAATCATTCATTAAAGGTGCAAAACAAACACAGGCAAACACACACATCAGTCTGATGCAACAGCTACTGCTTTCTACTGCAGAGTCAGTGATTTAAGAATTATTTAAGAATTTAATATAGAAATTAATCAATCCACTAAAATAATCCAAAAGTGGCATACAAAATTAAATAATAGATAAAAGGAAAAGTGTGTGAGCAGTCAAAACTAATTATGGTTTGCATAATTTTAGCCTTTGTTTGGATCATAAAAAAATCGGCCTACATGAGGTGATGTTGAGCAGTTACAGTATGGCATTAATTTATTCACATCAGTTTATATGAAACAATAAACATTACTTCAACTTACTTGAAAAGTTACAATAAAATATTTAATATAGTTATTGTTAGGCTTTACCTTTGTGTGTAGCTCCACCCTTTAAATGCCTTTTGGAAGAATCTGAAGTTACTTTGTTTCAGATGTTTTAATCTGAGGTGTGCTGTAAGCCATTTTAATTATTCACTTTGTGATGAACCACCATGATAATACATTTGACACTTATACATAGTTCTATATGACTGTCCTCATTTTGTCATTGTGTTTTTGATTTATATCAACACAGATTCAGCATGACTAATAAAAGATTTGTGATTCTTGCTCAATTTTCCTAATAATGCAACACAACTGAACATTTTGTCACTTAAATTTACTGTGTGAAAAGAGTTTGCTTAATTGTTAAATTCTGACAAAACTGTCATTTGAACAGAGTATAGTATAAAGGAATGATACTCAATGAAACAAACTACATAATATTAAAATACATGTAGTGTAAATTATAACTATTATGATTATTTACCTTTATGACTTTATGACAATTGCAGTTTTTGTGAAATTGTTCTCAGAATGATGGCTTTATCAATTTAATTACAATTTATGTTCTGAAAAAATATTGACCAGAGAGGATGCTGGCTGAAATATTTTCAGAGTTAAGATGTGTTTAACTGTCTTTTTAAACCAGGGGTAAAATAAAGCATAGACCATAGGATTCAGACCTGAGTTCATATACATGAACCATGTCAAAACATTTATGGTTGTGGAAGAAACTGCTGATATGGAACAGATATAGTATGGAATCCAACAAACCAGATAAACTGTCACAATGATTCCTAATGTCAGGGCAGCTTTGCTCTCAGATTTCCTTCTCACTGAACCTTCATTTACGCATTTGCCACTCTTCATCAGGGTGTTTATAACTTTCACTTGCTGATGCACAACATAGAAAATCCTCAAATATAAAGATATGATCAGGATACAAGGAAAAATAAAAGACATGAACAGATCAGTGACTCTCCAAGCAAAACCCACAAAAACAGAACACTCTCCATAACACGTGTATGTTCTGCGTGAAATGTCAAAATAACCGTTACTAATTACAAAGGCAGTGTTATAAGTTGAGGAGCAAACCCAGCTCAGAGAGATGCTTATTAATGTTTTAGTCATGGTTATTTTCTGTGGGTACAGTAAAGGGTGACAAACAGCCACATAACGATCAACAGCAATTAAAACTAAATTACTAAGAGATGCTGAGAGAAGCATCCAAATAAATATTGAATAGAGTCCACAGAAAGTGTCTCCAAAGTACCAACACATCTCAGTCAGCCTCGTGGCCTCTATGGGCATCACAAGTCCAATAAGCATGTCAGCCACAGCCAGAGAGAGAATGAGCAGGTTGGTTGGAGTGTGAAGCTTCTTGAAGTGAGAGATGGAGATGATCACCAGCAGGTTCAGAAACACAGTCCATGCTGACAGCACTGACACAAACACATAAATGATATTGTATTCATGACTGGAGCGTTTTCCCTTGATACATGATGAGTTGATGGCAGGAAAGCAGTATTGAATCTCATGATCCTCTGTCTCATAGGCCATGAGTGAGTCTCCTCCTGTTAGGTGTTTGTTCTGCTCTCCTTAATGTCCTTTCATTTATACATTGTCTGGATCAGACTGACCAACCCATCTACCGCCCATTCTGATGCTGCATAATGACATTTTTTTCCTCCAACACTTTTAACATTGATGTGACCATTTAGGACCTATGCAGTATTCCTGTTATATTTTTTTGTAATAATTTTTTATTTTTGTAATTTTTATTTTGCCATTAATTATCTACATTATGGTGGCCCTCAATAGTCTAATCTGTTCCACCAGTTTCATAATGAGCCAAAAATATTTTTTAAGCTTTTCATTAGGGCTGCCCTCGACTAAAGATTTTTCTGATCGACTAGTAGGGTCCCTATACTAAAGTGTTACCACTTGTTTTAATGTGTTGCTATATCCATACCAATAATATAAAAAATAACATTTATGTATCAGCCAGAAAAAAACTAGCTGCAGTCCGTAACTTTTTTGGGTTAAAAATTATCCGAAATCAATATTTGAGCAAGTACATAACCAGCCAGTGTTAAAAACTATCGCCTTACTTTAGCCCGATTCACAACGGTTACCTTAACATTAATAATTTAAGAATAAAGTATAACAATAATAATAATTAGCATGGTTTGATGTGATATGAGCTAACCGATTGTTAGAATTAATCACCATTGTAGCACGATTTATTGTAATGTTTTTTTCCTCAGTTGGTCAGAACAAATGTGGCAGACTTGTTACTTACTTGTTCAGATGACAATATACGGTGAAAATTCTTATTTGGGTCATATTCCAAGACGTAGGCTAGAATCTGTGATTGCAAGGTACAGTGAATATCCACACCGGTGCAGTGACTGACTGCCACACACACATACTTGGATACTGCTCTATTGGTCACTAGATTTTGCAGGACAATGTGGAACGTGTGACAGAGATAAATTTACTACAATTAGACTATGTAAATATTGATAATGATTGGATGATAACATTCTTTTAATCATTAATACGTTTTCTTAATGGTAACCAACTCAGTGACTGCCACTCAGTTTGCCCAAGTTCGAGTCATACGATTTAATTTACTCCACAGAACCTATTCAGTCTAAAATAAACTGAATAACAGGCTAGTAGGTAAAAATGATTTTATACTACAATTAATTTCCTTAATAGCAATTATGTTCATTTATTAGACAAATATGAACAACAATGCAAACATGAAATGCATTTTACCAGATTCACTGCATCTTGAACTTGTACACAGCATTATTTAATTACATATTTATTATGTCCTTCAGGTATCATGAATGATATTATAAAACTAATGTCAATCAAATTGGATGCTGGGTGAAATATTGTAAGAATTAAGATGTGTGTAACAATGTGGGTAGGCTTCTCTCAAGGAAGTCACATGGGTTGATCTGTCATATACATGGACTTGTCTTTGTTCAGTTGGCTTACACTTTACTATGATGTACAAAGAATGAGTATTTTCTAAGTACAACCACTAGAGGCTGAATTGTTGGACATTGTATGCATTTATGACTTCAAATTCAGATGTTTATGCTGATAACACAGACTATCAGGACTTATGTGCAATGCAGCTAAAACTACCACTATAAAATGACAGTGTATGCCGTCATTGTTTTCCTATCAGTATTATTATTGGACCAGTAAGCAAAG